CCCCCCCCCCCCCCCCCCCCTTTATACTATACATGCGGTTGTAAGGACGAAGAATGATTCGGATAGGGCACAATAAGGGGCCAGAAATTGTGTCGTGTCGATGCCACACACCTCCTAGCTAACTATGAAAACTAGTTGCCGAGAACCAATATTCCCAATGGGGCAGTTTTGGTGAAAAATCAATCAGGAGTTTGTCTTGTTCCACTGCTGCTCTTTATGGCTGATATTGTTCTGAATAACTGTTCTGTTAGAGTTGCAGTAAATATGAGAGTAGCGCTTCCATACAACTTTTGTGGTCACATTTTTGTCCAACCCCCGATTTGATACTTTTGCTGAAGCCTTGCTTCTCTCTTAATACGCATTTTTTACGTTTTCTTCGTTACCTTTGCACTAATCTGGACTGTTAGTTTCATTAATCGTCGAAAATCAGATACCACATAGTTATCGTGAACTGTGTCTTTAGAACCCAGTTCATTTCTGTACCTCACTGCAGTACCCTTGTTTGCCCACAAACCCTCTTTATGCTTTTCCAATTGGTACTCGAAGTATCTTTGAATATCATCTTTGAAAAAAATGTATAAGATGGAAAACCCTGCTAATGTTCTCCAGTTTAAGGCAAAATTGTTAGGACGAGCAGTGAAAAGGTAAGTTACTCGGGATGGCTGTGATTGTTGTTCTATGAAGTCGTGAATATGACCACTGTTTTTATGGGTACTGGTAACTTTCCTGAAATAAATGGTTTCCATCACTTTACCGGCAAGTTGCCAGTGCTCGAGAAAAAACGTAGCTGTTTGAGCTCCTACGTCTTGTGTTCTATTTTGCTTTGTTTGCATGGCGGTAATCGCTCGGTCTTTTTGGAGGTGGTCTTTTATGAATAAATTTACAGAAGGATGGCCATACTTGTTTTACGAAGAATAGCGACACGCCGATTGGCTCAAGTACGGTGCCATCCAGACTCGATGAAATCCGAGAGAATCGTCGTTTGAATCGGACAGATAAGGTAAGGTCTTTTTTTACAAGTTTCTTACTGTTTCATGTTGTTTAGAGTGTAATCGTGCTTTGTTTATTTTATTGTTCCGCCGGTCACAACGCCCGGCTTACGCTATTCTCTTCTTTATTACGTTGAACTTGGCTTGCTCAAATATGGAGGACAGAAGCTATGAATTTCCGGAAATACACACCCCGAAACACTCGCGAACTCCAGTCCGTCATGAGTGGGATCCTGCTCAATTATGTGTGTTCAGGTGAACTGGTCCTTTTTCAATCCCGTCGCCTGTACACATCCCAAACTTGACGCTCTAGTTCCAAGAGAAGGACGTTGGCGCGCCCTCCGAGGGTAGTGTTTATTCGTGCCACCAACTGTCGGTGTCCTTATCCTGTTGCCTGCGTCACTTCAGATTCGAACAATTAGGTGCAAGCAGACAATCTTCGCGCACGGCTCGCTACCGTGAGCAGAGTCCATCTTTGCACCTGCCATCATTGTTCCCATCCCTACCGCCTGTACTCCTTCATGTGTTTGTCTAGAAAACGCTGGAAAGTTATTGTTATGCTTCTGTCGTCTGAATGAGTCTAGCATGTTTCTTGCAAAGAAGTCGAGATGCGTTTCAGAGTTTCCTGTGCATCTTGGCTATGGCTGAGTGGTTAGAGGTTGAGAAGGCTAAACAGGGGACGTTATTGTTGTATTTTAGGTAAAGAAGATAGTACGAAAAACAGATTGGCCAGTTCGGCACGAAGTACGGCGAGATTTATGGCGAGTGCTGTGCCATAGTAAAGACTTTGACAGTAGCAAGGCGTTGTATCGCACCGAGCTAGAAGAAGCAGTGAGGAATGGGAGTGAGTAGCAACATCTATATTTGGAGTCGTTTTTAGCCATAAATGTAAATCTTTTCCTTAATCCCTTCAGTATCTGAGTCCAAATCACAGTTGGTTTTACATTGTTTGTTATATGTATAGAACTTAATCGAGAGGCTAGAAGTGTCAAGGGGAATACCAGCCACTAAGATTACCTCAATCCTTTCGTAATGCGTTTCGAAGCGTTATTGTCTCTGGAAGCAAAAAATCTGCAGCGTTCTGGAGTAGTGCTGTTTTGAAGTAAAGTGATTCCCCTCCGTGATTGAATGTTGAAAGCAATGGGGAGTCATATGAGTACCTCCAAAAGTTTTACCTAAGTGCTATGAGCATAAAGGATAGCCTACTAAGGCACTCACCTAAGCAAAATCTGCAACGGCGGCGGTAACAGACCCCTAAACGGCTGCCAAGAGAGAGCACTACCTCTGCGCACAAGCGGATTTAATCGCTTGTGAATGTGTTACACAGTAACCCAAAACACACTGAAGCGCCTTCAAACGCAACAGAAAGGTAGCCCAGGTGAAGCCCACAGAAGTGGATGGTGGGGTACTAGAGGGGTTACTGTATCACACTTTCATAGGACGTTTAAATCCCTTCAGTCCTCTGCGCTGCGGACGTGCTGACTGTTCCCCGGATTGTTTATTCAATCAAAACTATCTGCAAGCAACGTTCGAGAGCTCATAATTTTTTCGGGAAACACATTCAGCAGTTTCAATGAGTATTCGTAAACAGCACTGTAAATTATCGTTACGCCAAGAAATTGAAATTTTTTTGTTAGGCCATATATTCAAAGCGAGTACGACGATACAAACAAACCCTTTATAACTGTGGAAAAATTGATTGACGTTTGAGAAATAGTGCCTATATATTTGAGGGCTTTTTAACATGACAGGTTTTTTCCAAGAGATTTAACTATGTTTTTGCTAATCTTCTGGTTTTCAGCGAAATCTCATCAACCGCAATTTCTCAGTGAGGAAGGTGTCGTAGTGAACAATTTTGACCTAAATGAACAAGGAGCTGTCCGTCTTCTTCGCTTGCTCACCGTAATCGAGCATTTACGACCGGAAATAAGCTCCGCTCCGGTAAGAGGCTAATCCGTGTGCTACTTCTGTTCGCTTTTTCAATTTTGTTTGTTGAAATTGTATTTAATTCCGTTCACTTTTGTAGATGCTTTACCCTTTATGTGCTCTCATGCTTCATTATCTAGAGGACGAAGACGTATTTGCCTGTGTGCAACATTTGCTCGTTTCGAAGGTATTTCCCTGTTCAGAATCCCTTACGTCTTCCTGACGGTTTTTTGATTCTATGAAAAAAGCGATTATCTTAGTTTTTCACGTTTTTACAACAGGGTTATCTCATGACGTCGCCTGTGCAGTGGGCTGCTTCGTCTCATACAATTCTAGCGCTTGTAAAGAAGCATAAACCTCACGCCTATGCAATGTTGAAGCGACAGACCGGCACAGTGGATGATTCGATCTTGGTCAAAGTGGTTGGTGAATACAATCGTTGTTGAAAATCCAGACCAACACTTGACAATTAGGCGTGTTGTCCTATAGTGGCAATCTTGAAAGTGACTTTAACACTGTTTATAAGTAGTCTAACCCCATGTCTGGCTTTTTTTGATGGCACCAGTGTTTTATGATGCAAACTGATTTTCGCGAAGTAGAGGACGCTATGGAAAATTTTTTTTCAGCTTCGAGATTGGCTTTCATGGATTTTCAACGGACTGCCACTGAACTACGTGGTGCGAATTCTCGACTGTTACTTAGTGGAAGGTCACAAGTTTGTCATTAGAGCTGCAATTGCGATTGTTTATATCTGGGCGAAGGCATTAAAGGTAGACATAAAATGATGCTTTTCACTTCGTTCATTTTCCTCATTTGTCTATGTGAGTCGTCAATAATTTTTCTAGAATCGACCTCATGATGACATGCATGGCAAGTCACAAGAGGAAAGGATAGAAGCCGTAAAAGAGGAGTTAGCTAATTCAGCAGTTCAGATGCAGGTAATGTGTCTAAACCTTCATGCATGCCAATGATGAGCTATTGATTTTTCATGGTCGTCTTCAATTACAAGAAACTTCGCTCTCTTATACAACCCTTTGCCCGGACCTTTCCCTGTTTATTTTCTCGGTGGGAATCCACTGAATTCAGACTTCTCTGCATGTTCTCCCGAAAAAAGGCATAATATTTGTAGCGGGTTTTTTTTGCCAAGTTTCCTATGGCGAGAGGGAGCCTTCTATAGCGCTCTCTCCTAAAAATGCGCTAGAAGACCTAAGGAAGCTCTTAAAGCAATGGGTCACTGTGGTTTTCTGAAATTGTTTCTGCAGTCGGTGAACCCTGAACAGTTTTTCAATACCTATGAGAACACTGCCGCATAGATGGGGCTGGTATTCTTTAATGTTAGAAGTTCTTATTCAGTGGCTTTGTCGTTGCTCTCTTCATTTTGCAGTTGTACTTCTGTGTTTGGTGTTTTGATCTCGATTTATTTCTTATTATCTGCTGACGTCATTAAAGTTCGCGATAGTTCCTCATGTGGTATGTCATTCCCACTAAACTTAAGAGGGGGCAGCTCGAACAGCTCCAACGCTTGAACTCTAACAGCGCAGCGGTGCGCCTTAGTGATGAAATGGTTTGCCATAGCAAATCCATCAAACGGCGCAGTCTTTCTTGTCCCCACACATCTACTGTCTCTCTGTATTAGTAGTAGACTAAAAAAATCTTAGTTTTTATTATAAGGATGCAACATATAACTGAAGTTGAAAGACCAGATTTCATCTCTACAGATATCCACTGACACCTTCATTCAAACAGCTATACGAATCAGGAATCTGCAAAGTTCAACTATCAGTCGATTGCAGGCACAATTTGAGAATGAGGTGAGTGTGGTAATTCAGTGTTCCTATGGATTTATTATCATTTTGATATTAGTCTGGGAAAGTGGTAAGGACAAGAGCCGTGAAAACAGTACTGAGCCTTTGCTTTGGTTCCTTCGCTCAGTGCTGTCTTGTTCTGCGTTTTTGTCCCACCTATCTTGCTACCCCCCATTCAGGGTCGTTGAATGGTCTCGTTTGAGGGGGGAAACAAAAAAATCGCCCTAAGCATCAAACCTTCAGAGAATCATTGCGTAAACCAAGCTTTTCATCTAACTCTAAATTCTAAATAGAAACTCACATCATGGATTTTTTATGACCGAGTTTATGGGTAACTGCAGTGTGTGCAGTCCTTGACTTCCTTGAGGTTGCTCCTTCAACTCCAGTAGCGTTCCCCTTGACTCCTTTAGTTTTGAGGGAGCTGTGCCTGTTTTACGGCTAAATTCGACCATAAGATATGTCTCCTCCCATAGCTGCCTTATAGGTTCGTGAGGAAGTCACTCGTCGACAGTCACAGAAGCGAGCTTTGCCTAGAAGGGCTCGTCACTTCTTTACCCAGCCGTTTACATCTGCCATAGTCGATCAAGGTTTGAGACTATTCAGTTTCTTGCTTTCACAACAATATTGGCTTTTTTTCATCATGACAGCCATCGATGCTGAATGTAAAGGTGATAATCTCTAGAGATGCCATTTTAGAAGCAGCTGCAGAAATTATGTCAGCACTGCCCCCTCGCCTTCAGTTGGCAACACCACAACTGCTGTTCCGACTTAGCGTCGATGGTGCAAGTTTCACTCATCTCTGGAGCAAGTGAGTTTCATTTAAAAGCACATTACTGCATCAAACACTAGTATCATTTCGAACGCAGGGAAAATAAACGTAACATTGACTGCGATCGTTAGTGGGAACTAATTTATTAGACTTTCTCATTCACTCGCATTTTGCGTTATTTGGAAATTTCTAACGGGTGTTCAGGTCGATAGTGCAGATGCCTATACTTTATTACGTAGGTTTTACAGAATCCGGTATTATGTGGGCTTTACAGAATCGAGGAAGCGGAACAGACGCTCTTGCTGATAAAGACTACAAAAGGAGTGAAATTCGGCGCTTATTGTAGCTCGTCGTGGGCAGAGAGGAATGATCGTCGAGAACGATCCAAGTCAAAGTACCTTTTGACCACTCAATGCCTTTATACTTATTAAAGCGAATTTTCCGCTTTGAGGTACTTTGGCACTGGAGAATCTTTTGTATGGGTACTAGAAGAAGAGCTCGAGCTCCCCGTCATCTATGGATGGATTGGTAACAACAATGAACATCCCGATGCTTGTCCACAGATGTTCATGGCGGCTGGTGATAAATTACTCGTGGTAGGTTTCATTATTTGGTATTGGCTAGTTAGTTTGGAAATTGCCCTTGCAAACAAAAATGGGGTAGCTGCTAGGAGTAAGAATTATTGAGATCTGTAGCTCTCACATTAAGAACTCGCTCTAGGCACTTAATCAGGAAC